TATCTGATATAAGAACGAGGAAAAGCAGCGGAGCAAGGACTGTACCCTGAGGTACAGAGTACCACCTACCACCCCCCTGGTACCTCCAACCTCCCGGATCACCCCCCCCCCTGTAGCTCTACCACCCCTCCAGCAAACACCACCCACGTCCCTGGAGTGGACGGGTTTGAGCCGGAGTGACCTTGATAAAGTTGGTCCGGATAATCGACCAGTCGGTCAATACACATCGACAAGGTTAAGGTTGTTAGGTACCAACATTTACCACTCCATACCACTTGAAGGGTCCCGGTAGTGCAGTCGGGTGCCTTCTCTACGTGTCCAGTCCAGAATTCCAGGTTCGAAACCCGGGGGGCGGGTGAGAAATGGTTTTGGGCACATTTTCTTTTAACCACATTTTGCTGCGTAACCACTTACGAAGCCTGTACATCTTATCTTAATAATCATGGTGGCTTTGTTTACAAGTATTTAACAGCTTACTAATTTGACCTCTGGGGGGGGGGTCCCAGAGACTGGGGGGGGTCCCAGAGACCGGGGGGGTCCCAGAGGTCCGGGGGTGGGGTCCCAGAGGCCCAGGGGGTCCCCAGAGGCCGGGGTCGAGTGTTGATGGATCACAATCCACCCCGCCACCCCCACCCCCCTACCACAAGGTCATCCAAGAATGCACATCGAGGATACAATTCCCCCAAAAGGTGCGGGGTGTTACCTGGAACTGGTTCCAAACCCCCTTGTTGGCAGTGGGGGCAGAGGCCAGGCCTTCCCTGGGATAGAGAGCTTGATCAATTAGACTATGTGTGAATTACCGGCCCTACACAATACAAACACCCATTCAAATCAGAACAGGAATATAAATTACCCCATTAGTGGGGGGGAGGGAAGCTGGTAGGTGGCACCCTGTGTCACTGTACTGAGTCACGGCAGCAACAGTTGTCTTGTTTTAATTGTTGCATTTGTCTTAAAACAGGTGTTGCCTCCATTTCCAGATAGCTTTCCCTTTTTCACTCTGGCGGTAGCGGTAGTCACTCGTCTCCTGCTGTCCTTACACAAGTTGCTAAATGCCGTTCTTATGTTAGCCAACCTGGCATATGCCGCTGATGTTATCCTCTTGATATGGGCTTCAGGGGACAGGTCTGACGTGATGTCAACCCCTAGGTCTTTCTCTCTCTATGACTCTTGAAGAATTTCATCTCCCAAATGATACCTTGTATCTGGTCTCCTGCTCCCTACACCTATCTTCATTACATTGCATTTGCTTGGGTTAAACTGAACCATTTGTTCGACCATTCCTGCAGCTTGTCCAGGTCTTCTTGAAGCCTCAAGCTGTCCTCCTCTGTCTTAATCCTTCTCATAATTTTGGCGTCGTCAGCAATTGTGTGTGTGTGGGGGGGGGGGGGATTAGGTAGTAAAAGTATATTGATTGACAGTTGAGAGGCGGGCCGAAAGAGCACAGCCCAACCCCCGCAAACACAACTAGGTGGATACAAGGTAGGGAACCTCTATGCCTCTCCCTCACTACCCCACCTCCACTACCACACCTCCCCCCCTCCCCCCTGCTGGGGACGCCCACCTGATACGGAGTAATGGCTGTCACCTTGAGTCACCTGGAAGATGGTTTATGCATCACCGTTCCCTCACCCCCCCCACATGCTCTCAAGCACCCCCCTCCCCCTTCCACACACCTCGACACAAACACACCCAATAAATGCAGACTACGCCGCCACGATCCGAAGACCGATGTATAGAACAAATCCGGATGTAGGCTCGAACCCTCGTCACGGCCCTTGTGCATTTGTTCATTTGATACAACTCGCTATTGTGATTTGTGTGTGTACCGATGTATATGTTTCGCAAGTCTTAGTGCCTTACACGTAAATGCTTGATCAATTTTGGCCAGTTACCTAAGAGGCGGGGTCCAGAAGCTGTGTCTGTCTCTGTCTCTGTCTCTGTCTCTCTCCCCCTCGACACATGGAGGCTGAGGCAGGTATAAACACCTGGTCCTCACTAACACCACCACCCAGAGCATGGTTCAGTCATTATCGAGGCGTTACTCCACCTGGCCACTCCTATTGCTCCAGATTATCGTCCAAATATATAACACTTCATGTGTGTGTTTCCGGCCAGTGTCTCAAGATTCACTTCCTGTGTGGTGATGATGATGAAATGAATTATGATGATTTGTAGCGCATGCTTTACAATTTGCATAATTTCTTCGAACGCTTCCCCCGTTTTAAGACATCCTGGGGATCCAAACATGAGGTCATTGGCGGGAATACAAGGCCCCCTAGGACGTCCACGTCTCAGCAACGGGTGCGCCTAGGGCCTGGACAGGTCAGAGGTCAACCGGTAGACTGCACCACGGCGTCGCTTTTCTCCAAAATAAATAATAGTGAGAGGTTAGAGGGGTGGAGGGCGGGGTGTTGACTCACAGCTGACGGCGCCGCCTTCACGTGAATGGCTGTGACGTGGGTATGGCTGCCGCAGCTGCCCGCGGTCTTGTCATACTCTTATGACGATTTTTTTTTAGTTTGCTGTAATATATACTTTATTGTTGATCGCGGGATTATTATTAACGTACTGTGTATTAATGAAAGTATTTTTAAACATGCTGCCAAATCATATGTAAGGTTTTGGAAGGATTATGAGGAAGATTATGGAGTAAGTGGCAACATGGAGGAGGTAGCTTACTATACTGGCGGCAGAATACTAGGCTCCACAGTGGCGGCCTGCCTTCCTGTAGTGTTGGGTGCGTGTTCTTATATTGTCCTGCACCAGTGGCGTGTGAGGCAGGCGCTGTGTGGGTCGTACAACATCACCCTACACCGTGTGTGCTCTACTTGACTCACAAGTGTCCGTCCTGACGAGGAAATCCCTAAAGTCATGATCCCCCAGCTTAAATCTGGCCGGAAGAATGCTTTTCTCTCCCTGGGTCCGTAAGCGTAGCGGCTATCTGGAAGCCAAGTGCGTAGTGTGTTACTAGGTAATATATGTCGGTCAGAAAGCGCGGTGGGAGATGAAGAACATGTAAGCAGAGAGAGACTGTTGCTACCCAAGACGCAGCAGAGGCAGCCTCTTGCAGTCTCCAAGGCAGCCCGCTGCTCCACAGCTTACTGAACTCATCTCTACAAATTACAAGCGTCTAAGTGCCCGCGAACTCCAATTTTTTTCACCCAAGGTGTTTATATTTGATAGAACAAGTGTGTAAAGTAGTGGAGGTGGACTGGCATCATGGCTATACACAGTGAGGAAAGCTCAAACGCCACGGATTCCATCGACGCTGTGCTGGCAGAAATCCACGCCTTCACCACAGACTTCACCCGAGATGATGACGTCGTCTCTGTAAGTCACTGTGATGTCACTTGCTACTCCGTAGCTCGGTCTAATGTATACCCTGTTGACCAATGTATACCCTATCCGCTGGGGGCCTGTTACCTGCAATAATAATTCCAAAACTCATCAAATTACATCATCAACACTGATTTAGCTCATTTTTTAAGTGACTTTAATTGGTTTTAATATAGGCGCATAGGCTTTTTCCTCCTGGCGACTGTCATCTGGTATTGGGTGATGCTAATCTCTGAACTGGTAGCGTCAAATATAGTAGGCTTAAATACATAGGGTAATGAAATACAGTATGCGCAAAACATCTGTAGTTGTTAGACGACTTGTTTAAAAATTTGAAACCTTTCCAAATGTCTTTTGCTAAGATGTAACTTATGCCTCGAGACGGCCAAGTGTTTGGCTCGTCTGTTGTGTTAATACAAATTTTGGAGGTAATTATGTATAATAACCAAGATCATTCTCCTCGCATCTACTGCTTCCTCATTATCTCCTCCTCCCTATTCATTATCGCCCTTTCTCTCTTCACTCCCTTATATTGTCATCTTAACTTTTCTCTATCGTCCTCTCCCCTGCACCATTCTCCACTTTTTCGTCCCCCTTGAACCTTTCCCTTCTCTTCTCCCATGTACCCTTTCCTCCCAATTCGTCCTCGCGCCCTTCCCTTCTCTCCCCTCTTTCCTGTTCCATTTCTTTCCTCTCGCCAGTTTTTGTTCTATAACTTGCTTATAGTCCCGGCCCTTCCCCGTTTTACAGTTCCCTCTCCTATCCACCACCACCTTCCCTTCCTACCATCCTGTGCTACCCACTCTCATCCTCTCTCTCTCTCTCCATATGTGGAGGGCTGGCCCAGGTGCTGACGTAAACACCGCTGACGTCACTTTATGAGTTGTTTATACGTTACAGGAAGACGTTGGACACAGGATATTACCTGACACTTGTAGTGTAGCCTACTGGTGTGGTCCAGATAGGCTACGAGTCGTCTTTATTTAGGCAATCTCGAGCTGCGTGGTTCGTTGTCAGTAACAATGCTATAGTTATTAGTGTTGATTAAACCACACACTAGAAAGTGAAGAGATGACGACGTTTCGGTCCGTCCTGGACCATTCTAGAGTCGATTCTCACAATTGACTTGAGAATGGTCCAGGACGGACAGAAACGTCGTCGTCCCTTCACTTTCTATTGTGTAGTTTGGTCAATATATTTCAGCCACGTTATTGTGACTCCTCGTCTGGTTATTAGTGTTATGATTTACAAGAGTGGCGTTACAAGAATGTAATTACTATGCTATGTATCCTCACAATCCCAATGTACCTTCTTATATATATATATATATATATATATATATATATATATATATATATATATATATATATATATATATATATATATATATATATATATATATATAAATAAATAGGGTTATTTAAATTACTATTTAGAAATTATAATTCATCTCGATTCACTATGCAGCCATCGTTGCCAAGTTTGATTTGTTAATGCTTCACTGGGGCTCTAGTAACGATTGGTGTGTGTTTGTAAGGCAGCGTCTGGGATGCTCTCGGACGCAGGTTCGAATCCTCGTCACGGCCCTTCTGGATTTGTTCATTTGATGCATCACGCAATTGTGATTTGTGTGTGTAAATTGGTGTTTTGTCTCTCTACAGGGTCTGGAGCAGGTGGGCGGCAGTGTGGGCGTGTCCGGCGTGCCCAGGCGTGAGAAGCCACACCCACCGAGGATCGACGCCCACCGCTTCTCCAGGGCCAACCTCGAGGGTGAGTACCAGGTTCTTCAAGGACCACTTCTTGAGGTCAAGGTGATGGCTAACGACGTGTTTTCCGTACTGGTTCTTGCGCGTTTCCTAAAGAAAATTTTAATGGTTTAAACTGTTTTAATTCGTTATAATTTAAGAGTATTATTTGATATTAGACTAAATTATTTTGTTTTAAAATGTGTGTTAGTTGACTTTATGGATACATTCGCAGATTTTTTTCAACTTTTTTGACCAGGATAAAGTTGTCGAAAGGCTTTATCATTGGCTTATCCCTTGTCACGGGCTGTTTTGCTAAACTGATCTCCGCCACCCCCCTCAAAAAAAAGTCTGGTTCATGGTACCCTTCATAATTTAGCGTGAGTGACGTTTCGACTGGAACAGCGTCTCCTTTTGAACTCTAAATCACATTAATATTATCCCAATACATTCTACAATTGTGTTCACGTAGCTGGCTCCTGATTGTTTCCATTTCGCCCTCTTTCCCTTTTTCTGTTCAGCGTCTTTGTGTAATGAACAACTTGATTATAAACGTGGGATTGTTGTCCAGCGGTCCACCTCTGATATTATACACTGACTGGTACAGTATCTACTGGTAGACTGGTAGATATATCTTTAATTCGGCAAGGAAAGGGACTCCCGGAAACTCTAATTTAGGGTTTAGACCCACAGAGTTTCGATATTGAGGGTTAGACCGACCTAATCTCTAGACTGGCTATGCGAATCAAGGCAACGCGGTACAGTAATTAGGCTGCGAAAAAGAGTAACAGTATCTTAATGTGCGTTAAACTTGCCGACATGTTGCTTTAATTACTTCCAGGCACATGCACTTCAAGATGTGCAATCAAACTAGCAGTGGCGTGTTGACGGGTTGGCCCGACATGAACCACACTCTGCACTCTATATCAAAGGAACCAGATACGTAAAACAATGTAATGTTCAGTGAAGGAAACTTTTATTTAAAGAACACAATTTTATTGTCACTACTGCAATAAAATGGGCTGGAAAAAAATACTTTTTTTATATACGAGTATTCTCAATGGTGGAATACCGTTGCACATTAATTACTCCAGATTATGCCGAGGGAACTTCCTAACCTAGAAAATGATTTCCGGCACTAATCTACACTATTAAACTCAAGTTTTCTGGGACGCGTGGAATCCATCAATGTATTTCCTGAAAAGCAGGCAAGATACATTATTATCTACATCTGGTTCATCTGTGCGCACGGAAGTAATTTCATAAGACCCCAGTATGCATGGCAGAACATGGAAAATATCATTAAAAAGGGATGCATAGAGTACGGCAGGTCTTCACACAATCATCAGACGCAACGCTTAAGCAAGGGAATGTCACAAGTCACCATAAATACATTAAGTACTAACCCAGGCAGGGAACGAGTGCCACAAAGTTGTTCAGGTCGAGGGGCCAGATTCATGAAAGCACTTACGCAAGCACTTACGAACGTGTACATCTTTCCTCAATCTTTGACGGCTTTGGTTACATTTATTAAACAGTTTACAAGCATGAAAACTTCCCAATCAACTGTTGTTATTGTTATAAACAGCCTCCTGGTGCTTCGGAACTCATTAACTGTTTAATAATTGTAAACAAAGCCTCCAAAGATTGAGAAAAGATGTACAGGTTCGTAAGTGCTTTCGTGAATCTGGTCCCAGGCTGCCATGTCTTGAGGAGTTGCAGGATCCGCTCCAGTCCCCCGCCATTTTGCGGGGGTGGGGGGGGGGGGGCGATAGCCAACACTACACTTCTATGCAACCAGTGCTGAGGGTAAAGTAATTACTGTACATCGAAACATCAAACCAACTCACTCACCACCTGGTTAGTTATCTAGATACTGTATTTGTGATGAAAGCAATTACAGTTACTATAGTCCGCTTGTAAACTGGCAAGTGAACCCTTTGTCAGAAACAGAGCATTCAGAGCCCAAGGCTCTGAATATAAGAACCAGTAACAACAAACATCTAATTGGTTTCTAAAAGAGACTCAGAAAAATTCCAAAAGGTGCCTGTGGTGCCTACGGCGGACTGCGGGCACTGACTGGTCTTGCTGACCAGACCAGGATTCACAGAGCATTTATGTCCACTTACGAGGTCTGTGCCTCATCGCAACCCGTCCTCAAGTCCATTCCACCCAGCGGTCGACCCCACAGACGCATTCATAAACTTTTACATGCTGTTCAGTCAAAACGGGAATTTTTTCAAATATAAATTAATATTATAATAGCATGTTGTGCACATATAGACATTGGTTAGGTGTTCTGTTGGCGATTATTTGTATTTGTAGTACGTGGGTGAATCATTTACTGCGTTGTAGTTCGAACAAAAGTTGTCAGTGAAGCACTTGTTCTGGAAGTGTTCGAACGAAATCAGTTAAGTCGCGTGAAACAGCCCGTCCTCTAAATAAAGACCCAAAAGTGCACCCGCCAAACCCCCTGTTTATGAATGGAAAAACGGTTTACACACGACTCACAACTGGTGATGTTCGAACACTTCCGGAACAAGTGCTTCACTGACAACTTTTGTTCGAACCACAACGCTGTAAACAGCCCGTCCTCCAAACAAAGATCCAAAAGTGATTCCATGCACCCGCCAAACCCCCTGTTTATGAATGAAAAGCGGTTTACACACGACTCACAACTGCTGACGTTCGAACATATCCGGAACAAGTGCTTCACTGACGAATTTTGTTCGAACCACAACGCTATAAATGCTTCACCCACGTACTACAAATACAAATAATCAACAGAACCTAAACACCTAACCTAACTTATCCTATGCCTATATATACACAATATGTTAATATATTATAATATTAATTTATATTTGCGAAAATTCCCGTTTTGAATGAACAGCATGTTAAAATTTATGAATGCGTCTGTGGGGTTGACCGCTGAATGTAATGGACTAGAGTCGAGGACGGGTTGAAATGCTTCACCCACGTACAATAAATTCAAACAATCGCCAACAGAACACCTAACCTATGTCTATATGTGCACAATATGCTAATATATTATAATATTAATTTATATTTGAGAAAATTCCAGTTTTGAATTAATAGCATGTAAAAATTTATGAATTCGTCTGTGGGGGTCGACCTCTGGATGTAATGGACTTGAGTCGACGACGGGTTAACGTCAGAGAATTGAACAATCCAGTTGGGCGAGATGTGCAGTGACTGCGCCTCAGCACAAGGCTGTCTCACAGGGTGATTGGAGGGTCCGGTGGGTAATTGTGGCACTCTGCCATGTTTGGCACTAATGGATGTGTACCAGATGACCCTCGCGGTGCGCCTCACGGTACGTGCGAATAACTGAACGAATTGGCCTGGAAGTTAAAAAAAAAAGACTGATGTGATTCGAAATCAGATTAAACTTGTTTAATGGTTAAGTATGCCATTAGTTTTTAATTCTGTCCCGAAGGGCTAGTTTATTGTACGGCGTCACCCATCCTGTGAGGGAACATACCGCTAAAGCAGCATGTAAAGAAATCAAAATAGGAAGAAAACCCGCTGGGTTGTTTGTTGATCTTGTCACTGGTACCCTAACGCAGCTGGGACATTACTGTTAAAGTGAACAGACTGTAAGAACAAGGGATATCTTACAACGCTCACGTTTATGTTATCTTGCGTGTAGAAAGTGGGGGGAAACCTTTTAAGGGGGAGCATGTATATTTGACAAAAAGTGCTTTCCTAACTCGATTGATTGATGAAGATTAAGCCACCCAAAAGATGGCACGGGCATGAATAGCCCGTAAGTGGGTGGCCCTTTTGAGCCATTACCAGTATCAAGAGCTGATACTGGAGATCTGTGGAGGTGTCCTAACTCGAATTGTTATGTTGTTAAAGATTTAGCTATTCAGGACGGAGTGTCCATGTAGCACGGGCTATGGTGAGCCCGTGCCTAACTCGAACAATGCGGGGTTTATTTTACTACACATTTCTAATGTCTCTTAGAAATGAAAGTGTCTCGGGTGGCGGCCCAAAGTGTCCATCACTCGTGCTCTAAATTTGCAACTTCGTTCCTTTTTTTCCATGGGCACTTGTATCTGAAGTCAACTTCTTGCAATTACGGATTTCCTCCTTCGTCCACCACCTTTTCATCCATAATGGATGAGGTTGTTGGCAGTGACTGCATTGTTCCAGTGTACAGAGTTGCTGACTGACCTCCTATCTTAGGCCACCTTGTCACGGTGATGTTTGATGGTGTAATAGTCTACTCCTCTGTTTTATGTCGTTTTATTAATTATCGTACATGCATTACCTACATTTTCGATGATTTTTCTCCTTTTGTTTTTCACTAAACCCAATTTTTTATTTAATCGGTGAATGTTGAAGGTATGACACGTTCTCACTAACGGCCAAACCCCAGTTATGTGCTCAACTTTATAAATTCAAATTAGTGTCCTTCAGCAAATACAATTGCTGTAGTCTTACGTTGATTGCCATGTAGCCTAACACTCGGGCTGTTTCAATATTGTATGTACATACAATATTGAATTGGAGAAACGCCATGTGGTTAATTGAAACATGTGACACGTTTATTATAAGGATGTAGTGGTGGTTGTTGTGGAATTATAAGGATGTGGTGGGGCTATAAGGATGTAGTAGGGTGAATGAGGGGTTGTGGTGGGGGTATAAGGATGTAGTAGGGTGAATGAGGGGTTGTGGTGGGGGTATAAGGATGTAGTAGGGTGAATGAGGGGTTGTGGTGGGTGGAATCCCGGTGCGTACGTGCCACTGGAAGAGTTGATGCACCACCCAAGTATGTTCATGACTCCTGCCAGCCCTGCATGTTGTCCTACACTACACGAGGGGGTCAGGCAAGCCAGGCTGACCTTGTGGTTTGCAATTCTAACTCCTGGTGGCCTCAAGGATGTGCGTGCTTTGACTTGCTAATTGATGTTTAATATATTGATGAGACTCTGAAAAATACCTTTTATTAATTGTAGCCTTTGCCTTTAGTATATAGTAGCGTTTATCCAGAATCATTATGTTAGATTGAATTGATATCAAATATGTTACCAGTTTGTGAATGTGAGTTATATTTCAGAATGAGAGTAAACTTAAATACTGAAGCTTATATGATTTTAAATGATTTTTTCGAGCAATTATATTCACGATTACTTTGAACTTATTAATAAAATAACATAAATCAAGAGTGATTTAATTATGAACAGAACTGTGTCGTACAAGTATTAGATTGTCGTATACCCACCCCGAGGGTAACTGTATAAGTAGTTAACTGGCCTTACTTTTGCAAATTACTCAGCCACGCCCTAAATATGTATTTAATGCGCTACGAAACACATATACCAAGGGCTTGGCTACAATGGTAAGGTGGGGCATTCGTCAGTTTTTCTTTGGTCGATGACGTTCGGCATCTTGAATAATTCTGGACACGTAAGGTGGTCTGTTATTGGCTGGCGAGTTAACAGTTAGGATATTTAAAGGGTTTTCATTATACTGTTCTTTTGTTTGGTATTAGAAAGTTGTTACTATGCTCTATATATTAACAGCCCATTGACATTTTATTGATTTGTAACTATTAATTAATATATTTTATGCATACACACCCAAATGTCAAAAATACCTTTAAATTAAGGTTATACATTTATTAATTAACTTAATACACGTGCTTACTAATATATTGATGATACTTTCAATATATTACTAATATTATTGATGGTATCAATAAGTTGATACCAACCAGGTATCAACATGCCAACCAGGTAAAAGCATCGCTTTAGGTGAAGCAAATTAGGGTCATGATTCTTGCAAGTAACTCTTCCAGAAAGGACGATAAGAAGCACATAGCCTGTTGTTCATTTGTTGAATAAATATATTGATTTGAACAAATCCACTACGGGCTCACCATAGCCCGTGCTGCTTGGAACTTTTTGTTCCAGGTAGCGAATCTTTAACAACAACAAAAAATTGATTTGAAGTTACACAATACCACCCATTTTTATGTATGTGGTCTAACATCACCATTATACACTTTTACGTGTGGGGGAGTGATATGTTATGATTATAAAATGGCACAGCGTAGGGAATTACTTTCTCAGTCAGGGCTGGATAAATTTAAAGGTAACAGTATTTGGTTTTAATAATGTGCCAATTGTGCCAGATTGGATTGTGCCAATTTTTAATTTGTATGTGTCTACCCAACAAGATTCTGGTGACGTTGAATTGGACACCATCCTTGGAGAACTGTGTGCTCTGGAGACCCAGTTTGAGTTCGAGATTTCCTCCAAGAGCTCGAACTCGGCTTCTAACTTAACCACATCCACCAGAACAGCTACCGCTGGTTCCCATATTACAGGTCTGTTGGAATTTGCTATTTTCCTCTACCCGTACACCCCATTTTCTCCTTTTGTAAGCATCAGTTTTTGTAATTAAGAGGGATATATATGTATACAGTATATATATATATATATATATATATATATATATATATATATATATATATATATATATATATATATATATATATATATATATACACAGTATATACACAGTATATACAGTTAACGTAAGTTTAGAAGTAACTTGTCAATTGGTTAGTAAGCCATTATTTGAGGACCTTAGTAACCATCCTTCTGCTGTTGAACCTGAAGCCCAACACCAGATCAATCTTTACTAAAGTTGATGGTCATTACTGACGGGACATTATTGACCTCATTGTCAGCACCTTTTGCTCTTTTGAACCAACCGCTCCACTTAAAATGAATATATTTGAAGAAATGTATGAATTGTAACTGAAGGAGTATAATATATATAAGGGATCCACTTCTCATTTACTTGCATCATAGATACCCATAGTTGAAAGAAAGCATCTTGGTAAATGTCAATGTGAACTGTTGTGTTCATTTTATAAGTGATTGGCTAGGAATTTATTGTACTGTATGACCATATTCTTTTGTTAACTGTACTAAACTTCACAGATAAAATGCAACCCAAGCAACAGCAGCAGACCCAGCAGCCACAGTTGCATCCGCAGCAGCAGCAAAGACAGAGCCACTCCCGCAGCAACTCTGGGAACACAAGACAAAAGTTTGAGCCTCTGAATGTGGAAATTGATGTTTCTACGACCAACATGGGTAAGTGTACGTTTCCTGGTCATCTTTTCTTAATGCAGAAATATACTGTGTATAGTGTAATAAAATTATTATAAAGTGTGTTCTGGTGTGTGTGTGTTCATGTCAGTGCTTGCTTAAGTGGGGTTTTGTGCTTTCTTTTTGTATGTGCTTGGAGAGTCTAATATCGGCTATAAAGACCCACCATTTGAAAGTCGGTAGGCCTACTCCATTCATTCTGGTTTCTCCTATCGTACTGAATTTAAATGAACTCTGTATTGAATTTGCATCTTCAACATTCTCATTTAATCCACTCCATTTATTTATGACACTTAAGCTGAATAAGTTTTTTCCGAACATCTCCGAGTCATTTGTGTGTCTAGTTTCCATCTAGATCCCCCTTGTTCTATTGCTCCATACTTTGAACATTGCTTCTGTGTAATTAGTTAATACCCCTTAGAATCTTGTATGTTATTCTATCTGCTCTTTACCTTCTGTCATTCAATGTGGTGAGGTTTGGTTCCCTTATTCTGTCTTCATAGCTCAGTTCCCCTTTGCCCAGGAATGAGTCTTGTTGCATATCTTTGGCCCTTTTCTTGTCTTATGTTTTTTTGTTTTTTAGGTGAAGGTTCCATGTTAAGGCAGCATACCCAAGAGTAGGAACATGAAAAGATTGTAAAGAGTATAGCACTTGGATGGCTCCATTGTTAACATTCCTGAAGGCTACCCAGATGTTGACTAGCTTGGCATTTACTGCTGAATGAGTGTTTCATTTCTTAATAGTTTTATTTGTAAGTCTAGCGCTCTCTGAAGTGGGAAGCTGCTTCCCCTTCATTCGATACTGTCCTGTATTTGAGATCTCACTCCTGTTCCTATTCTCATAACATTGCAAATGCCATTCTTCAAACCACCCCTGAAGACTGGCTAGTTCATTATGCAATGTATCATGGTCCTTCTCTGTTCTGACCCTTTTTGTAGTTTTGTATGTATGCACTGTATAGTACCTGTATACCAAGACATATGTATCAGAAGTATATAACAAAATTGATTTTCATTTCCTTTTAACAGCACGTACAGACAGTCCGGACAATGATTCGGCATTTAGTGACAATGTTTCAATGCTGTCTTCGGAAAGTTCAGCGTCCAGTGGTGCTTCCGGGAGTGCTGGCTCAAGACATGACCCTGGCAAGCATGTGTCACAGGTAGGTTGCTTCTCAATATAATGTTATCAAATGAGCATTTAGTATTAATCAAGAAACTATGTAAAGTATTGAATGTACATACTACATCAATAATATATATACTGGTGGGTGTGTGCGTGTCTATATACACACACACGGTTATATATTGTATGTACTGTATATATATATCATTATGTATATCTATATATATATGTAAATTATATATACTGTGTATATATATATTATACAGTAATATATAGTACAGTATGTGTGTACTGTACAATATAAAATGAGTGGCTACATGATCGTGGTATGACAATAGTTGAAGACTCCTTGTTGACTGTGCATGCTGTTTTGTCATATATAAATATATTCTAGTTGTACTTAATAGCTAAGAGTTGCTTAACAAGTAACAAAAATTATAAATCAATTTACCGGAAGATTTTAACTTGCGGACTTAGATACGTTTAATTTAACGAATGTGATTCAATTTTTATTTAATTTTAACAAACTTGGCAACCAGATTTAACATAAGGCTACCTGCCAAGTTAGTACAGTATAATAATTCATATTGTCACTACAGGTATTATTAAGGGTAAACTGATTTTGAGAGAGATTTGAAAATGTACAAAATGGTGCAGTTCTGGTTATTAAGTACAAATATATATATATAATATAAATTCACATACACATGTACACACACATACTTTGGCAGAGATGCAAAAAGGAACTTTGAGAAAGGTATAGTGAACAAATGTAGAACAGATCCAGGCCTTTTCTATAAATTCATTAAAAGCACACTGCATTTAAAGGATAAAATCCAGAGATTTAGAACGGGGAACAGGACTACTGAGAATGAAAAAGAAATGTGTGAAATGCTAAATGAACGGTTCCAAGGTGTGTTTGTACAAAATGAGAATTTCAGTGACCCAGACCCAATACCAATTCCAGAGCATGCCATAGAATACATAGTAGTTTCCCCAAGATGAAGTTGAGAAATTACTCGAGAGCTTAGGAAGAAATAAAGCAGTTGGACCTGAAGGAGTGTCACCTTGGGTGCTGCGAGAATGTGCGCAACTGAGCTGAACATTCCACTCCAATTAATATTCAAGACATAGTACCGCTCTATAAAAAATGGTAGTCAAGAGGAACCTCTAAATTATAGAGGTTTTAGTTTCCCGTATCATTAACAAGCGTCATAGTCAAAACACTAAAAACAATAGTTAAAACCAAATTTGGTTTGGTTAAAACCAAAAACCAGAAGAGAATTAAATGAGTTGAACGCCTAGAGAGTAATGACATAATGGAAAGACAGTATGGCTTTCGAACAGAAAAATCCTGTGTAACAAATCTTGGCTTTTTAACAAGCTGGAGGGGTGACAGGAAGACCTATAACATGGATGAAAATTTTTTCCGACAGACAGGAGGGTAGTAATCAGAGACGGTGTATCTGACTGGAAGTGTTACTAGCGGAGTACCATAGGGTTCGGTTCTTGCACCAGTAACGTTCATCGTCTACAAATTATATGAATATGTTTGTGAATGATGCTAAGATACTGGGAAGATAGGAGATGCAGCTTGTTCAAGCTGCATCACTCACTCACTGTGCATCACATCACTCATAGAGATGTAGGATTGTAATGCCCTACAAATCAATCTAGATAAAATAAGTGCTTGGAGCATCAAGTGGTAAATGGAATTCAGTGTGAATAAATGCCATGTTATGGAATGTGGAATCAGAGAAAATAGACCACACACAACTTAAAATTATGTGGAAAGGAATTACAGAACTCTAATAAAGAACAAGATCTAAGGGTGGTTTTGAATAGTAAGCTGCTGCCAGAGGAACATATAAAGAACATTGTGAGAGGAGTGTGTGCATCGCTTTCCAACTTCAGACTTGCTTTTAATTATATGGATGGTGGCATACTAAAGAAACTGTTCATGACTTTTGAGCCAAAATTGGAATGTGTGTGGTGCCCAAATCTCAATAATCACACAAAGAAACTGAAAAAGGTGCAACGGCATACTACAAAATGGCTTCCGGAACTGAGAAAAGAGATACGAGAAGAGACTAGCGGCGTTAAACATGCCAAAACTAGAAGATAATAAAGAGGTGACACGATCACCACTTACACAATACTAACAGGAATCGACCAAATTGATAGAGGGAATGCCTGAAACCAGCAACATCACGAACAAGAGGACACGGATTCAAGCTAAGGAAACAAAGGTCCCCCAAAAATATTAAAAAGCTTTCTTTTGCAAACGGTAGATGATTGGAACAAGCTAAGTGAGATGAACAAACGGTAGATGATTGGAACAAGCTTACACTATAATTAGTGTAAGAAGGTGGTGGCCAAAGCCATCAGTAGTTTGTGTTATATGACAGAGTACTGGGAAGACAGGACACCATGAGCATAGCTCTTATCCTGTAACTACACTTGGGTAATTACACACACATACACACACAAACACTCACACTTTATGTATATTCTTAGATATAGTGAAGTTTGGGAGTACAGTAACCTAAATACAATGTGGCCTTTTATACATATTGTTTGATGAGGTCTGTATCATTTACTGTAACTTATAGCAGAATTTCTTACAGATTAGCACAAAATGAGCAATAAAATTTTATTACTGTAATGTTATTTACAATACGGTATGCAAAACAGGACTGTGATTTCCTTGCATTTGGGAAAATAGTTCATGAAGAATTGTTAATTTGGGAGGACAGTTTAATATTAGATAAAATAATTTGTATATCTGACTTTCAATCACATTTTGTATTGATAAAATACCTGGAATAGATTAGAAATTCTGCTTAAATTTTGATCTTTAAATTAGATAATAGAAATGATGGTCTCATCATACAAATACAGTTTTTATTTTAATTGTTAACTGTATGGAGTGGTTTATCATAACCAGGTCCATATTATTACAATTGATAAGTTATCAAATTTGTTGAGTATAATACTGATTAGAACATGTGTGAACCAAATTAGTTTAGTACTGGAATTAACTGCTTGCATTTGTGTCATATTGTAAGGGTATCTTTGCCAATTTAACTACTAACCTAATTAACAATGATGTGCAGTGGCACTTTACCCTCTTACTGCAAACAATACTGTATTTGTTCTTGTTTCTCCCCTGTTGCCTTTGCATGATGCTTGGTTTGCATGATGGTGATGGTACAGACCCTTTTCCTGACGTTACCTCAGCTGGCTGACCTGCTGAAGGATTGTGGGTTGGACAAGGTTAGTTGAAGATGACTATCAGACTCCTCCCTGTATCTTACACTTCATAACCTTAAAGCCCTGCCACTGTAGGAACCAATTAAGTACAGTATTGGATTAAATATTTGTCTAACAGTTAAAATTAACTTTGTAATGGCAAAAACTATGCAATAATGTTTAATTTTTTTAGTACAGTGCTCATATGTTTTTGTTGGTTAGATATCTTCTTTTACCCTTACACAGGCTACAATGATTGTTTATCTCCAAGAAAATAATGAAGGATATGCAGAATAATCAGGGAATATTTAATGACTATTTTAACTCAAACATTTCAATAGGATCCCGATACTCATTTCTTTCTTCTGGCAGGTGGAACAAGCTGCAAAACTCAAAGCAGAAAAGATCAAAATGGCTTTAGAGAAAATCAAAGAAGCTAATGTAAAGAAGTTGTTTATTAAAGCCTTCACATCAGATGGGTCAACAAAATCTTTACTCGTTGACGAGAAGATGACAGTCGTACACGTCACGAGGCTATTGGCGGATAAAAATCATGTGAGGATGGACCCAAAATGGGCAGTAGTGGAGCATATTCCGGATCTTTATATGGGTTAGTTCATCTGAAATTTGCAATGTAAAATTTTTTTTTTTACTTTATGAAATGTTAAACTGTATTATAATTTATTTGGCTTGCTTATATTGCATATACATGTACATACAGTATATTCTGCATCCTGTACAATATTTATTGAAATGTTGAAAATGTCATACTGAAGTTAATATTTTACTTTATTCCATAGAACGAATATATGAAGATGACGAGATGTTGGTTGAGAATCTTCTTCTTTGGACAAGAGATAGTAAAAATAAGTTGCTGTTCCTTGAAAGACCTGATAAGTATGATTTGTTTCTGCGACCAGAGCAATATATCCTTATTGGGTCATCATCACAGAAGAATTCGGATCTGGATGATGAAGGAAGAAGTACACTTATCGAGGTAAAATACAGCTCTTGACATTAATGTATCAAGTTCATTAATTTACCATTACCCCTTCCAAATTTAAGTTTTAATGTTTCTATAATACTTTAATACTTAGTCTTCCTGTCTTCGTGACTTCTTTTGACAATTACTTATACTTTGTTTAATACTTTTCCACATTTCATATGAGGATGTGATGATTACCAGTTAAATTGGTTAAGCCTAATTATTTATTTTACCACCTAATCCACTGTCTTAATATTTTTCCATGGTGATACATTTTCTATAATTCATAGAGCATTACTTAAAATATCTTATGATTAGATCTAGGTAGAGATCAAGGAAAAGTGGCCTAAATATCTAAATCTATAGGTTTCGTATAAGATGCCTTGTTTCATATGCAGTATTTTTACTATGAATATGATTGTGTACAGTGGAGGTACTAGTTTACTGGACAGGCACAGTTGCGTATACAAAAAGGCTGTACGAATTGCCTAGTGTGGTGGATAGCATGCTCACTTGTATGTCTCAAGGAAGAACAGTGTAGGTTTGAGCTCTAGGCAGGGAGGAATGGTTGACCACCAGTCCTTAACTGTTCATCCAGAAGTAATTGGAAACCTGGTTATATGCAATTGGTGGATCATGCCTGCTTGATACCTGCTTGATGGAGTCTTGGAAGTTGTTGTTCTCCCCTTGAGAGTTTGGTCCACCAGGCTGTTGCTTGGAGCAGCCCGCACATCATGTTCTGGGGATAAACAAATTGGGTTAAAGTATAGTTCAACTGTAGGATAGGAAGGTCAATGATGGTAAACAGGAATTGAAAAGCTTCTGCTCCTGTACCCTTGTTAAAAAAAAGTTATGGACTGGTAAATCCTTCCATACGAGTGTCGAGTTTTATGACCTGGCAACCAAGACCAGTCAAGATGGAGGAGGGTGGGCACAGAGTATGTTGTTCAGACTTGTCAAGATTTTTGACAATACTTTAGCCAAAGGTGACATAAGAAGCTATCAGTCAATGTTTCAAGAGCAGTAATGAGTATTGGATTGTCTGGAGGCATTAGTGCACCAGGCAAAATATGTAAAAGGCAGAACTCTTAGATCTTTATCTACTGGGTAATGCCCTTTTGATACAGTGAGGCAAGCACACAACTTCAAGAACAAATATTAGATTACTCGACCATAGGAAGATTTTACAATGCATCTGGTACAAGTAGCTAGGATGCGTGGCATAAAATGTTAGACCTTACTCCTTCATAGTCGCTAACCCACAAGTCTATGCATAAGGACTGATAGGCCTCTGAACTCATTAAAGTGTAGAAGACAGAGGCCATGCAGAAGAGTGCTGTACAGTATTTTGATGGACAGTGGACAGTTGGCCGATTCTTGGGTAGTCAACAAGAAAAACTCTCGTATCTGGTACAGACCAATATGAAGCTTCCTCTTTCCACTGTGGTTGCCACCATTCATATTGTTAGATGCCACTGGGTGCTTCTCTGTACAAGATAATTTAAATTGTATGTAGTCACAGTACAGTAATTTTGAAATAGTCCCTAGCCTGCCCTCCAGGTAAAAGATCTAATCAGTGAGTGAATAATTTACTGATCAGTAAAAAAAGTATAAGTGGATAAATGAGTGATTCATACTTTTGTCAGGAAAATTGTTTCATAGTGTGTATTGAACAAACTCTACAGTACTGTTCAAGCAAACTTTATATACTTTATGCATTTACCTTTTAACATCTTTTAATACAAATATTTTAGAGAATAAGCATTATTTTATTTTTCCCCTTAGGAGTTCTTCTCAAGTACAGGTGTAGGTGTTCCTGAAGTTGAAGGTCCTCTCTTCCTTAAGTCTGAAGGCAAGAAAGTCTGGAAGAAATACTATTTTGTCCTTCGAGCCTCAGGACTGTACTACTGTCCAAAAGGCAAATCTTCTCGCTCTTCCAAGGATTTAGTGTGTCTCACAACTCTGGAAGTAAATCAGGTTAGTTATTCTCAGTCTCTCGCTATCGTCAGATTTCCGAGAGGTTTGTTAGCCCATACAATTTTGTTTAAGTTTACATACATTAAGTGTGAGGGGTAATATAAATAATAGGCAAAGAAAACCTGATAGGGTGGGCCAGGAAAGGAAAGTGGTTGATGCACTGGAAGCCCTGGTTAGAAAAAATATAATAGTATTATATGTGACGGCATCATTTTTGTTAAGGGTTGCATATTTTTAATTTACACTTGTCCTTTTCCAATATATTTCAAGCAGCTGATGGTGAAAAGAATTGTAACATATTTTGCCTTTAGCAAAGCCTTTGAACTGCACCTCATGAGAGAGTTGTTAGTCATGGGAGAGCATCCAGAATTATGCCGAGTGGACACGGGAAGTGTGCAAGAAAGCAGGGATTTCATGTGAATGTTGCACAGGATATAGAAAGCGATAAGATTTAGTGGAAGTGTTTGTAAGGAGGAAGTGACTGTGTTAGCAGTATACTATAATATTAATGTGCATGGAAATTCATGAGCAGCACTGTAAACTTGGTCATTTGAGGCAATAGTGCTGCTGCAGTAGATAATTGTGTTGGTGGACCATCTGTGATGGTCTGTAGTATAGTTTAATGAATGGACAAGTGCTAGTTTTTTAATATATACGCCCTTTCACTATACAGTATTTCTTATTTTTCTCTGGCCTGGTGGCCTCCTCGATCTTAAAAGTGAGACAAAGTAATCATAGTGATGTTCATAGACCCAAGAGTGAGTTAGTGACTAGTAGACATGTTTAAGTTTAAGAGGAGTCACTAAGGCCTACTTGCATTTCATCCAACAAAATTGGCAGACATTTCAATTTTAATAATACTTGTCCTCCTATGGGGATTGTTTTACAACATGGTGCAGAGGTAATTCTTTATTGCAAGTACAAAAATACTATACATTAAAGTCAAAATATTTTGCCTATAATAACGTACAACCAAAAATTAAAGTATCCTAATTCACAGGGATGAACTTTAAGAGGTAACTCGATGCAAGTGTAACTACTTAGCCAAAAGAGCATTGGATATTCAGTTCCTGAAATCAATATTTGGATTTGTAATCTTTCAACTACTGCCCATAGTATGGGTTAAAATGCATAATAAAAATTGCTACAAATTGTAAACTGATTGAAGAAATGGGAAGAAAAGTATGTGTTGCAATTTATATACATTTATGCATAATATAGGTACAGTATATCATTTGACATGCCTGGCCCTTTGTAAATACAGCAATATTAATTTTTGTTTAATAATTCATTTTTTTAAACTTGTATTTAATAATAATAATAATTTATTTAGGAAAAGTACATACATAGTTGCAGAGTTACAGTACAAACATTCTGTTAGATTTAAAGATAGAGGTAGTACATACAATACCTAAAGCCACTAGTACGCATAGCGTTTCGGGCAATCCCAAATCCCAATTCGGGATTTGTATCATCCATTCCAGGCAAATAATAGGTTTTTATTAAAGTTTTATAAAAAATGTTCTAACTAATGAATGTCATCAAACTATTTAGTTTTTTAGATTACTATAAAGAAGCAAAGTTTTTTGCAAACAATGTTGTAGATTTGCACATTACGGGTATAAGCTGTTGTCTTGCTTTCACAAAGTTTGCATATTTGGTCTGTATAAGGTTTTGCGTATACATTTTCTGTATACAAAGTGGCAGTCAAACAAAATGTGTGTTGAAATTACATAAATACTTTGTATAAACTGCAGGTATATTATGGTGTGGGATGGAAAAAGAAATACAAGGCTCCAACAGACTGGTGTTTCGCCGTTAAGCATCCGCACTTACAAGCCAAGAGCAGCAAGTACATCAAGTACCTGTGCTCCGAGGACCCCCGCACACTTGCCCAGTGGGTGATGGGAATTAGAATTGCTAAGGTTAGTTCCTTGTGTTGATAATTTTGATCTCTGCTAGAAAATAAGATTTGTGTCAAATGTAATGTACGTTATTGAATAATGTTGAATTATTTTTAAAGTTGTTAAAATTTTACAGGATAAATTATAGAAAAAATGACAAATAGCTCTCCATTGCTACACTATTACTAATACAATAACTACTGTACTGCTATTAGTGATATTGATATTACTCCAACTACTACTGCTTTACCAGTGTCATACTATTTAAACTATTACAGTAATATTCTGCTGCTGATGTATTGAATTAGTTTTTACTATGTAAAAAGCAGCAGTCTTGGGAATTATGATTGCTATTTCTTATTCTTTCTCTGATTATTTTTACCAGAACTTTCAACCTTCTCTGATGTAATTTAAATTTAATATGTGAGGAATTTGATAATTATTTTCAATTGGGAAACAAGAATTAATTTTTTTTTTACATTTTTGGCATTTGAAATTCTGTAAATAAACTCTTATTTTCCCCCATAGGGTTTTAAACTGTTAATAACACATACATGTTTTTAAGTAATGATTTTTAGATAGCATCTAAGCTTAAATTGTTTGTGCTTAAATTTGTTATGTTTACAATACAGTAACATGTATATATTAATATTGCCCACAGAGTGGAAGAAGATTGCTTGACAATTATCGTGCCCTAGTTGAAGACTTGGCCCAAGAGGATATTGACATGTTAGCTTCATCAAGATCATTTAGCATAGCTTCAATGGCAGGTCAAAGTGGTATTGGTGGTGGATCTCGTGGCACATCCCAAGCAACTACTCCATCTTCCGAGTCTCGTTCTCTAGATTCTTGTCTAGCTCCAAGCCTCACACCAAGTGTTCTTGATGGAGACGAAGGAGATGAAGATGCACACTCTTCAGCAGGGTCATCTTCACAGGATACTCCTGTGAACACATTAGGCCGTCCACCTGTCTGGCGGCAAGACAGCTTGAAGAGTGGCTCTTCCAGTAGTTCAAGTGGTTGTTTAAGTGAACGTTCATCAGCAGGTACACCCACTGGGGAGCATGGATTTGAATCTGAGTTTCCACAAGGAACTATTAAGAGGAAGCCGTCCAATAATCCAAAGCTTCCCCTTACATCAACAACAAGATTACTTGTAAAAGAAGTGGATGGAGAAGATGTTGTAGACTCTGCCTCAGGGCGAGGAACACTTCGTCAGAGTGTGCGTCGCTCGCTGTCGGAGGAAGTTAACACGTTACGCAGGCGTAATTCCCAGTCACGATCCAGTGTTAGTAGTAGTAGTGCATCAAGTAATGTCGTAAATAGTAATATGTCAAGCCCAGTGCCTCAGGAGGAAGAGATGGACAGTTTACCATTGCCACCACCACCACTTGAACTGTCTGAATGTGCCATGGAATCTTTACCACCTCCACCACCAGAGTTGTTGGCATCTACCCTCAGCCTTAATTCACTTCCTCCTCCACCTGATGAGGATTCTCTGCCGCCCATCAATCCAGAAGATCTCATGATGGCTAGCATAACGTCATTGCCGCCACCACCACCACCTAGTCCACCAAAGCCCTCTAGTCCCCCACATACTGGGGTGCCACCACCCCCACCACCGCACTCAAGTTTGCCATCACAAATTAATGTGCCACACCCACCACCTCATGGTCTGCCATTACCACCACCTACTACACCTAAGCCAACAAAGTCGAAGGGTGTTGGTTCCCCTATTTATGGTAGCTCTCCAGTTTATCAAACTGCAGGCTCGCCTGTTTATCAGTCTACTGGTTCACCGGTGTATCAGTCGGTAACACCACCTGCAGTAGCACCAAAACCAAAGCGTGACTCTAATGAATCTGCAATCTATGCTTCTCCGCCATTCTTGGCTGAATTACGGGCCCATAATGCACCACAAGTAGGGCTTAGTCCACAGCCACCTTCATCCAGTCATAATGGTGGCTGGCATCCTGACTCTCCATTACCACCACCTCCACCTTCTCCTCCTCCACACCAGCCAGTGTATGCACAACCACAAAAGAGTCCACAGAAAAAAGTTAAAAGAATTACTTTCATGGATGATGTACAGAATATACCTCCAACACCAGAGTCCCCAACTGCAAAACCACCTCTCCCACGACGTTCGGAGTCCACAAGACTATCTATAAACCCAGGACGTTTGGATAGTCCAGGAAACAAAATTACACCACCAAGATCTTTCTTGAATAATCTACAGCGAGTCATGCAGAAAAAGTGGCAAGTTGCACAAAAATGCAAAGACTTTGATAAGATGCCTCATGAAGTTTTAGGGTTTAGAGACCCAATTTTGCCCAGTGAAGCAGAACGGAATGTTGGAGCATGGATCCAGGAGCATTATGGCAGTCTGTACGAGAACCTCTCTCCACATGGTATCCCTCCTAGTGCCGACTCGGTAGATGTAGCACAATCGGTTAATAGCCACACTTTGCAGCCTTCGCCCCCTCCACACGCTGATGATCCACACCGCTTATCTCAGACTATGCCTGGCAGAAAGAAACCACCGCCACCCCCACCTAAACGCTCAGATTCCACACACCTCAGTACGCGGCAATGACGACTGCGACATTAGTGGCCACTTGTCTTGTTACACGTGTTACCCCACTTGCACCTGAAAGGAGGCTTAATATTATTATATATTTAATATTGTTACTTAATGAATGTTGCCGCTGTTCATAGTTTCCTTATGGTAGCAGAGCCAGTGCTGACAAAGTGGCAATGTTAAGAAAATTGGGTTTCTCTCTACAGGATGCCTCCAGTGTAACTGGAATGGGCAACTGTCAAGACTTCAGAAGTCAGTAGTGTATTTCCATTTGAATATGAATTTATATTTCTTAATGTCCTTATTGATGTAAAGTACCTTTAATCATAGTATTAATGAGATTGTTACATGTATTGTGGCGAGCTTGTTGGTGGTTTCTTCCAATGGTGCTACAACCTGGGCTGGTTAATGAACAGTAGTGGTATGATGTCCATATGGGCATGGAACTAGTTAAGTGTTGCCTTGGGCTAAATAGCATGGCCTTTGAGTGAAACGTGCCGTTTATTTGGGTCAGCCGGGAAATTGGCATGGGTTACTGTACCCCTCCAGGCTTCAACCTGCTCCCTCATAGTTATCACAGTTAACACTAGGCCAGCCATCTAGATTTGGAGAGCATCAACATAGACAAAGATATATGGAACTTACAGAGATTTATTAAACAGTCAATGCTGCCACATGCATGTTAAGACTGTAATATGAATTAGCAGCAAGTAGTTAATGTTGGATAACTGGTGATTGCATGTCAATTTCTACAATAGAAAACTGACAGCTGTGGATACTTGATGGTATTCATTTTATGTTTGACCAGTTAGTTATGAAACCAAATGTGTAAAGGTGTATATTGTACATTGGATAAGTTTTTGTATTTTTTGTAAAGATGTTAAGCTGACCCTGAATCTACAGAAATGTAGTAGGGGGTCAGGAATTTTTTACATTTTTACTGTAACAATTTATTTTTTATGGTTTAATGTGTTTGATAATGTGCATAAAAAAAGTTCTTTCTTTTTCTTTGACTGTTTTCTATCCATATTGCTGCTATGTGCAATTATGAGTCTTGTAAAAAGTAAACTGGATGAGTGGATGTTTTTCTATGTAATGAGATAATAAGCACATGTAACTGCCTGCCAGATTTCTTTATGTATGATAGATCCATCCAATTGAACTCTTCTTTCATGTTTCTAACTACTTAAGGGTTTCCTCTGCTTTAAAAATAATTTTATAGTCAAGATGTGTAATTTCTATTATGAAATTTAAGATCCAGATGTGATCTTTTTGTGTGACTTAGTCAGAAATTGTATACATGTAAAGTCTAAGAGCCCATTTCTAGTACCTGCAAGAATTTATTATTCATTACATAATACGGTTAGCTTTCAAAATTCACGAGTACCTGTTAAGAACGCAGTGCATGCCCTCGGGGATTAAGGCAGAGGATCCTACGGGTAATAGATTTTTTACAGTTTGTGTTGCATTTACATAAATTAATATGATTGGTCACTGAAACGAAGCAAATATCTTGCTTTTAACAAGACAATGACCATGATATATCCACAAGTCTTTCTGCTTCTTAATTTCATAAATATCAACATTTAAAAAGCTTTATCAAGATCTCTCATCACTATAATATTTAAATGTAATTTGGCATGTGAGTGATAAGCAACCTGTAAAATGGAACTTCAGCCTACCCTCTCCTTTCCCCAACAAAAGTAACAAAAAAATAGGAAATGGAAAAAAGAAAACTAACCCCTGGGTTATTGTTAAGCATTAGGTTTTATAAACCCTCAGTTCTTCAATATTATAATTATGAAAATTGCTGGAGTAGTACATACAACACTGTGTTGGCATTGTGCATAGAGCTCCAGTTTAAAAGATATATTAATCTTCACTCATTAAGCATTACTATTATACAGTCAATGGGGTTTCATGGTAGTAATCTAACATTTTTTTTCATTTAAGTTGGTCTCCGTAGGCCCCATTTTGTTAATGGTAATACTGTATATTGCTTATAGATACTGATCTTATTAAACGAGGACAGGCATTCGGCTTCTATTACTTAAGTTATACCAAGGAGTTTTAAATGGCAAAAAGATTCGTATACAAATTTGTTTCCCCAATTAAAATTATAAAGAGTAACGAGTCCTTGAAACTCCATTTATGTTGACTGTTCAGCTGTCACTTCACATGAGATGTAAATCTTCCTCAGTATGTATAGCAATATTTTGAGTTAAATGGACAATGAGACTTGAAAATATTGATGTATTCCATGAGGCAAACTGTTCCCCTTCAATGACTATAATTGTCATTTGTTTCGTCCAAACACATTGTTTTTCTGCATGTTGTACCTAATAGCCAGAGTTGCCTAACAAGCCAAATTTTTGAGACATTGAATTTTTTTCCAACATTTTTGCTAATGAAATAATAGTTTTCATTGTATTATATATGATTGAAATTTTGTTTAGTGAAAACTAACGGAAATTTGATCAAACATAACCTACCTAACCTGATATAACTTGGTAATTCATGTTTTCCGTATAATTAGTTCTTTTCTAACAATATATTTGGAAAGAAACATTTGAAGATTATTCTGCCTTTTGGGCACATCAGACCTTGCATACTAGGCCAAGAAGTGTGGTTCTGGTTATTAGGCATGATATATATAAATACACACACACACACACATTGCCCTTAACTATGAAAATGAATTTCCAAGCATTATAATGCAGAGATTCCATTACCCAGTATTAAGTCCAACATTAACTGATGGAGCAGGGTGTTTGAGTGCTAAATATGATTCTAAAATTGTCGTATAGCTGATATTTTACATCATCCACACTTTGCCTTTTGTGCATGGCTAACAACTTTGCCTTTATATATATTAATACTAATTTCAATAATTTCTACATCTCCAGTGTTGTTGCTTTACCATTTCACAAACCTAGGCCATGTAGTACTGTACCTTGCTTTTTCTTGATTTTTTATATAATATCTTTAATTGTATTGGCAGCCTATTTCATATTGTAACTACCAAATCTGATGTAATGCGCTCATTTTTGTTTGTCCTTACCATCTGTGTTGTATTTTTTTTCCGCCACTGTTGAGTGTTCATTACTTGCCAGCTATGAGCCACAGAATAGACTACCGAGCTATCAATCACTGTGTGTTTGGTCTACTAGTCTCGTCCTTGTGACCTCCCAGGTATGTTGGTTTCTCCTAACCTTGTGCTGCCTGTCTTAATTTGTACCAGACTTTCATGGAAAAAACTGACAAAACTTGTTTCTCACCTGGTCTCTTTTTAGTCTCCCCTGGTTACCTGTGGTATCCAGAGAGTCTTCTTGGTAACTGGTTTGAGGATGTGTGTCCAGAATCCAGTGGCCTTGTGCCAACTTCCACATTGTACAGAAATTATATATACACAGTAATAAAAATTATCTCCAGTAAAGAATGAATAATTAGTTTAATATATACCTGCAGTAAAGGTAGGATTGGTTTACATGAAAGAAAGGAAAGCAGTCAAACTTGAATAACTAATAACTTTCAATTCCAATAATTTAATAACTTTAATTTCCAGCACTGGTTCTTTGGTCCAAATCATAATAATAATTAGCACATACAAAGTAGCCATGTAAGGGAAACATTGTAGCCTAAAAAGGAAACGTAGTGCCTAAGTCTTTCACTTTATAAAGGATAGGAAAAACTTAATCAAAAAGGTAAGTTCAAAATATAAATAAGAACGACTTTGAATAACATTGTTAAAGGTGATTGTAACAAAATGTTTGTGTTGAGACTGGAAAGGTTGTCAATAAAATAAAATTGGGTAAATAAATCTCATAAATCAAATGTGTGGAACATTCTTATAAAAAGCATTCTTATATAAAGCTTTATAACAAGTTTATAAAATTAAGCTATTCTGACAAACTGACGTCAGCATTTTTAAAAAGAATGCTTTACCAAAAATACAAAGTTTTGATGGGCTGATAACAGCTTTGATGGAAGCAGATATGTAAAGTACAGTACAGTATAATTTCAAAAGGTGCCAAGCCAGGAAAATAATGCACCACTGACTAGACATGCAAAAGGTGCTAAATATTACTTGAGATGCCAATTTGAGAACAGACGAGTGATATCAGAGGTATCGGACTCTCCAAGGATTCTAATACTGGACATCAAGGGATATTAAGAAAGCAAAACATACAATCATTCTGTAAATTGAGACAGTCTACAAATTGCACAACAAAATGGGACAGAACAGATACAAGAGGTCCACAGCCAACCAAAAGGATTAATAGGGGGGGGGTCCACTTCCACCTGTTGAATAGGTATTGGGTCACTACCACCTGTTGGATGGGCATGGGGTCCACCACTGTCCACAGGATGGGTTCGGGGATCACTACCACCCACTGGATGGGTATGGGGCTCACTACCACCTGTTGGATGGGTATGGGGGGTCCACTACCACCAAGAGGATGGATATATGGCCCAAAACCACCCACAGGATGGGTATGGGGTCCACCACCATCCACGGGATGGGCAACGGGTCCACTACCACCTGTAGGATAGGTATGGAGCCAACAACCGCCCTTAGGATGGGTATGGGGTTCACTACCATCCACAAGATTAGTATGGGGTCCACCGCCGCACAGATGTGGGCGGTAGTCGACTATACTCATCCTGTGGGCGGTACTGGGCCCCATACTCATCCAACAGTTGGTAGTGGACTCCATCAACATCGTACAAGTGGTAGTGGATCCCATACTCATCGAGTGACTATTTGCGGACCCTATATCCATCCTGAGGATACACTAGCAGTGTTGAAGGTGTTCATTAGAGACTCATTCGTATTTGGGAAAGTGAAGGAGTGGCTGTTGGCCATTGATAATTGACACTTCAGACTCGCAAAATATTAACCAATGGGGTGAGTTTTAGGGTGAATGGCAACCAATCAGTGGCAGGGTTTGGTTGGCTGTTGGTTATAAAAGTTGAATTACATACATTTTTGCTTAGCGCGTATACCAGCAAAAAGCGACGTTATTTTAAGAGGACGAGTTGGCTGTAGAGCCCGTCCTCAGACCAAATCCATTACCATGAGAAACCTTCCCCCCACACCCCTCAAACCACCTGGATCGTTATCTAGATATTTGTGATGGTAAGAAAACATATTACAGTTCCAGTAATAATCTATATGTAAACTGCCAAATTAATCTTTGTCGCAAATAGATTACTCTCAAGTTATAACTGTATTGTATTATAAATCGTTAGTATAAAATATAAGTGTATTTAGCCACAACCTAAAAACGTTTTTTAAGAATTTGGTTTTCTGTTAACAAAATGCTTGGGGTGCACTGAAATGTTTTTCGAAATTCATATTTCACATTACTGTCAATAATACATCGTAGTAACGTCAACAAACGTACTGAAATCGAACCTAATAAAACTCTAACCTAACCTGACCATGGATAGAGTAGATAATAGTGCTAATAATGTAGTCGTTCTCAATCCGTTCCCGTGAGTGTATTTCCCTGAGAACAGGTTGCTGCTGTAGCAGTTATCTGAGCTTCTAATTTGAGAGTAGTAGTAATATTTATGTTTTTGACCTGACTTCAGGCCAGATCTTCCAAGCAGTCCCATCGGACTGCTGCCCCTCAACCGGACTGCTGCCCCTCAGTCAGACTGCTGCCCCTCAACCGGACTGCTGCCCCTCAGCCAGACTGCTGCCCCTCAACCGGACTTCTGCCCTTAAACCCTGGACTGCTGCCCCTCAACCGGACTGCTGCCCCTCAACCGGACTGCTGCCCCTAAACCGGACTGTTGCCCCTAAGCCCCAGATATATTCTGGAGCCGCCGCTCTTCGTCGTTTCATTACTCCTTTCTCTTAACTTCTTTGTATCCATTGCTTTCTCATTTTCAGTTTTAACTCATTTTAATTATAGCTATGCTTCCTTTCTCATCACACCCTCGCTTTCTCTTTTATCCACTGGCTTTCTGTCGCCCACTTCCACTTCCTCAATTTATTCCCCCTTGCTTAATGTCCACTTTGCCTTCCTGCTGGTTGTATTCTTTCTCTGTGTGAACTGTTTTCTTTCCTAACTTTCTTTGTGCCCCTTTCTTTCTCTTATTTAAATATCCGTTTCCTCATTTTTTACTTTATTCTGCTTTCTTTTTCCCTCCTACCTCTACACTTTCTCTCTTCTCTCACTTTTGTTCTCTTTCTCCCCCCCTGCTTTTCTACCCCTCTTTCCTATCACTTTTCTATTTTTTCTTTTCCTTAGTGTTTCTTTGTATTCCCCCACTTTCCCTTCCCTTCCGCTTTCTCTATAAATAATTTTATCTTTAACTTCTTTGCCTGGCTGAGGAGACGTGCTGTGACGACCCCCGGAAGTGTTTGTCTTGTTAAGCTCCTCTAGTGACCGAAGGATAGCAGATAGACTAAGTGTTCGGTCACTTAAGTCACTGGTTCTTGACCTTTACTGCAGCTTGCATCCATTTGCTTGTTAAAAGTCATGTTCTTGTACAAATATAAGATGTTTATACATAGATATAATAAAACATAGCACAAACGTTGTTCTCACATGACTTCTTAATCCTGTTGGATCACAGAGCCCGATCCCCTCCGGTTTGATTATGAGACTGCAAACCTAACCAAAAGGTCAAATAAATATTTTGCTTATATGACTGCATTGACTTCACTATTAAGACATCTGTGAAATATGAATTAATTAACCCTTATTTAAACTATCAAACCTCGTGTCAATTTTGTTATAAATTGAAATTGAAATTGAAATAAGTTTATTGAGGTAAAATACACACAAAGGGATGAGGTAGCTCAAGCTATTCTCACCCCGTTCAGTACATCGTGTTAATACATACATAGACACACATCACAAGCAATAAACGTATCACCGAACATTCTGAGAGATAAACATATACATTTCCTCCTCTACACAAGTAATTTATTGCTTTAGAAAAGCCAAAATAAAGAATTAATGATTGGAAGAAATTGGCAAGATTAGGCAGTGTTTGTTCATATGAGTATAGTAGGGTAGTGACAGATGTATACAATGGAAAAATACCAGTACAATATTACCTTTTGAGAGCCTCAGTCCACCACTACATTGAGAATCACATTGTACATTGAAGTGCACTCAAAATATTTTGTTTATAATGTGAATTAAATGTTAGGCTTTGACTGACACCCTTGTTATTTCACTAGTGATCTTTTTCTATTCTGAACCACTAGTACCTAGCTGATATTGAAGAGCACTTGGGAGTGACCATCCAGCAGGTCGATCAAGAAATGAAAGTTCCAGTTGATGAATTTGATGGCAAAGTGATTTATGGTGAAAAGAGAGCCAATGTTGGTAAGTTTTCTTAATACAGTACAGTGTTTAAAATTTATGTGCAGTACACTATTTGTTCTTATTCTGTATGGAGAATGTTGTCATGACACACTATACTCCCAGTTGTTCCATGTTCTTTTCTGCATGCACTTTTGTAGCTCTTGCTGCTCGTTTTTCACACTGATGTGCTTACTGTCACAGTGCTCAACCATTCCTGTCATTGGTGTTTGTTATTACAAGCATGCTTTTAATTACTGTGGCTACAGAAGTGGCACAATTTTGTGCCAAAGTTTAAAGTGCTCAAGTTATTAATGCTTGAAAATGCCTTCTTGTGATAAGGTTCTACATGATGCTGCTCCCTAGGTGTTAGTTCTTTAGTAGAACAAGGGATGAAATTAGCAAATAAATGATTATGCATTTCTATCTTTATTGGAACTAGAAGGTTTATTCAAGGGTAAACATCACTAAAGCAGTACAGCTACATGCTATTTATTTGGAAGGAAAATATGTACCTATATTTAAATATTATTGCTACACATATTAACTGTAAAACAGAACCAGGCCTTTTCTATAAATTTATTAAGAGCAAGCTGCATTTAAAAGATTAAATCCAGAGATTGAAAATAGGGAACAAATACAGAGGGAATGAAAAAAAATGTATGAAACATTAAATGAACAGTTCCAATATGTGTGTACTCGCCTAGTTGTGCTTGTGGATAAAGATTAAGCCAACCAAGAGGTGGCACGGGCATGAATAGCCCATAAAAGATAACTTCAAGATAAGGATACTTTATACCTTCCCACACGGTGCATGGCTCGGCCCAGACTGACCTATTTCCTAAGGTATGCTCCCTCCTTCGACAGTCCAAAATTAACAGAATATGACGCACTCCTAAAATCAATGACCATTAAAGTGTTAAACTTCTCCCTGCAAGATGACCAATGAAACCAAGCAACGCTCCCAATTAGACTCGGGGGCATAGGTTTTCGCAAAGCGACACAGCATTGTCGGCATTCATATTCTCGACCTTTGTTACAGGTGAATTAGTGAATGAAATACAACCAGAATATCTAAAGAGACTCCATTGGGATTTATGATCCCAAATTTTGGG